AAAGATTTCAACTGTAAAAGAAATAAAAGTAGGTTATACACATGAATATGTTACAACTCTTAGAATTTAGTGTTAATCGAATAAAAATTATGTTTTTGACTGCCAAGGTAGCAATTTTGTAAATAGTACATGCTAAGACATTTGTTATCTTTAGTTTTATTTAACACGTAGAAGACCGCGTGGCCATCGGTGAACACACAATATGTATTACACAAAATGAACTATTTCTGGTGTGATCCCTATAAATAAAGCACGATTTTCGATGCGCTCTTTAACGTGTTAATATTGTGCAAATAAATCATTTACTAACGGCAGTTGATATGTTTCACAACAGTACAGCAAACAAAACATTAGTTGCTCACCCAAGTTATCAAGTGTTCGGAAAAAAGATCCTCGATATGTGAACTTGCTCTTGCATAATTACACGTTTTATCATAAATACTAATGATATATGATAATGATCACCATGATTATCGAGGATGAACACATTTGTTCACAAATTGCACACGCCGAACGAAATTTACAAGTAGTGGTCTTATTACAGGTTAACCAACAGATTATCCAAAGACACAGGTCTAAAATATGCAACTTGAAGTTGGTAGAGTAACTGTCAGCCGAACGAACAGTGGCGCTTGATTTTGCATGCGGAATACATTGGAAACTATGACCGATTCATATTAGATTCCAATGAGATATGATTCGCAGAATTTTGAAGCGAAATATTTCATATTTTTTCAAAAATAAGTTTAATATATTATCTTGAACTGACAATACATGTTTGAAACATGAATTTTGAAATACATAGTGTAATAAAAAAATATTCTCAATCTGACATTGACATTTTTAGGGGCGTTGCAAAATTTTGTAGAAGTTGATTTCGTAAGCGTCCAAAAATCTACAATAAGAATTTTTGCAAATCTCTACGTTTTGGAGGTTTTTGAACATTTTGGTATACGTTAAAAAAATGATGTGTGCGTGTCGTGTATGGATACAATGTTTGTCCACGTTTTTGGGAACGCGGTTAAACCGATTTGAATGATTCAAATTCGATTCCTATTGATAAGGACACGTGCTGATTAGTTTTTGGCAAAAGTTGGTCAAGCCGTTTCGGAGATACAAAGCAAGGAGTGTAGAAAATGGCTATTCAGTTTGAGAGAACGGAGCATCCTATTTGAATAATTTAAAAAACATTTTACTTGTATTTAGAAAATACAAGAGCTGAATAAATTTTTGGAAGGATAGGTTTAGCGGTTTCGGAGATCCAATGAAAAAGTATATTGGTTGTGCATGGTATCGTGCTTTAAGGCAAATTTCTGGAACTTTTACCGTAATTTAGAATTTTAAAATTTCAGAAGAAAACAAATAGTTTTTTTTGCAAATGTAGAATTTTTAGAATATTTTTGAAAATTCTGAAAACATTTGAAAAATTTGAATATTGATAAAATTGCCTTTTTTGAATGGATTTTTTAACAAAGTTTTGGCCTGTAATGCCATACCTTTATGGCTGAAAAGAGCTCAAAATTTTCAAATAATTTTGAAATATATAAAAATATATAAAATATAAAAAAAGTTCAGATTTTCCAAAAAAGTTAATTTGACTTGAAGTACGATGCCATGCACCACTAGACAATTTTGTATCTTTTTCGCAAAGCTGTAAGACTTAAAATTTCATGCAATAAACAAATCAAATATTATTGATTTTTTTTTTTTAATGATGCTTTCACATACTTCACTTATTATTATATATACAATTGCTTATGTTCTAGATTTATGGAATCTTAATCTAAAATCACAATAGAAAATTTATCATCTAATATGTACTTACTTAGATTCAATGAATTAAATTTAGAAAAGTAGGAAAAACTTAATATCGTGGAAGAAAAATGTCTTTATAGTAATTTTGTCTAAGAGATAAGAGATCTATTATTTTTTCATAATATTCTACAGTATCAATCTTTAAAGATTGAATTTTCTAGAAATTCACTTATGAATTTTATCATATCTCCAAAGGAATTCTTTAAATTCGAAGTTTCAAGCTAAAACTCTTACCATGTACAACTTGCATCAAGCTGTAGTGATATCTGTTTAAAAATAATAGAAACACAAATATGTTGTAAAGTAAAATTACGATGTGACTTTACAGTAGGTCAAGTGAAAATTCGATCACAAAGCGAAAGGAAAACCATTGGGTTGCCTAGGTAATTGAAAATACACTATAATAGCTTATAGACCAAAAATAGTTTTTAGTAAAGAAATAAAGTGGCATAGAATTAGTTGTGCAAGGTTTGAGAATGTTGGAATATTGCAGAGCATTTGTGCATTTTTTCAAAATTTTGTCAAATAAGTGTTGAATAAAATATATATAGGAATAATAGTTTGTGAATTAATGACAATTTATATATCCCTAATATAAATAAAGTTACACATACGTAAAATTAGATTTTTAGAAGTATATTTCCAAGATTGTTTTTTAAAAATTCAAATTCTGGTATCACAAAAAAAATTGTGCTAGAGTATTTTGAGACCATTCTGATAAACCATTTATCAATTTTTTTCAGATAAAATCTTTGCATATTGCAGATTATTTTGTTACTACAAGTTATGCTAAGAAAAGTGCTAAAATGTGCGTAAAGCCTATGTGTTTTTGCCCTAAAATGTACACAAAAGTTATGGAATATATTATTAGAACTATTTACATATTTAGTAGAATTTCGTTTGTTATTGTCAGAGTACATACGTACATATGTTTTTAGATTTTGGATAGTATCGTTATGATAAGTAAAATATTCTGAAAGTCGGCTGAAAAGTGAGATTTTAGTAAGATCTCATGTTTGATGATTACACCATACAAACAATCGACTTATATTGAAATATAGTATATAACAGATGTTATATCGTAAGGACAGAATGTTATGTAATCCTTCCGAAAAAAATGAAGGATTTTTTGTTCAGTCAAAAACAATCTTATGCTATCGTGATATGTCTTCTGCTATTTTAAATCCAAAAATGAATATTTTATTTTACAATCGGAACAGAATTTCACGGTTTATCTAAATTTAGTAAAATAATTAACATTATTCAAGCGTAATAAATTAGTCAAATATATACAGCAGTCTTATTTGTAGATGATCAAAATTACACGCTAATTACTTCAACATTATCTAATTTAATTATAAACAATTATTCTAGTCTACTCAATGTTTTTCTAAGGTATATTAATAGACAACAAAAATGTGTCGAAATTTTATATCGTTGATATTTTATTTATTAGTCTATTTTGGTTTTGGTAGGTTGTTTTCACTAAAATTTATATCAGACGTTCAATCAGGTTGATCCTACAGAAATATTGTACTAATTTAGAAATAAGATAAAATATTATGTAAGATAAATATTATGAATTTAACTCCAATACCTTTTTACTCTAAACTTAAGTATTGCACAAAAAAAATCACAAATTAAGTCAGTTATTTTACCTATTGCATCAATGAGTGCTAAGAAAATTAAAAAAAAGATTAATTTGAAAAAAATGATGGCAAAAAATTGTGTTTTTACATTCCTAGCTATTAGGGAATAAATTGAAAAAAAAAGGCGTTTATGGAAGAATAATTAGTAGTGCAATTAATAATTGTAGTACTAACAATTCTTTGAAGAAAAATTTAAAAATTTCTTTAGAACAAAATACAACTGTTCTGGAGGAATCCAGCAGTGCAATTAATAATTTAGTCTTATTTGAATTGTTTGGGGTGTCCCAGAACTCAACGTCAAGCCAAAATGGTATGATAGTATTTGTAACTAACCTGAAATTTTTTATTCAACGTCTAGAATTTAACAGTTTACTAGTTTTCATATTGAATTTACGTTTACCTATAAGATATGGAAATACAGATAATTTGGCACAATTTTGTAGCTAAGTACAAACTTAGCAGATTTTTCATTTCCATGTTTTATAAAATAGGGCGCTATTTCATTTGTTCATATAAAAATGAATGATTTTTTTTAACTTTCCGAAGAAGAATTGAATTTCAGTCATTTCGGTAAAATATTCAACTGTTTATTTCAAATGAAATTTATTGTTTTTACTAAAAAAACAACACGATTTCCCAAAGTGATGTCTTTCAAACAAACTTATAAAATATGTACTTGTATAAGTCTAAGTAATTTTTTTACATGATTAAATACATTTATTTCGTGTTCTAAAATTTAATGTATCATCGACATAGATTCTGATTAGAATCGCTTAGAAAAGTACAGCAAAATTAAAAATTGATGAATTTTCAAAATTTAACCGCCTATAGTAAGCCTAAAAAATTTGACAATGTTATTTCACACGTTCTACAGGTTTAATCAAAATTGTCAAAACAAAAAAAACTATTATAATCATGAAGAAACGATCCGGCAGATCTTAACCAAAAACATATCAGCATAATTCTAAACCAATATCTTTTTTAACAATTTTTGAATCTTTAAAAACATCGAATCACTTGAAGTAAAAATAAGTAAAGAAGATCACAAGAAAATAGCAGGACAAAAACATATATTCGAAGAATAAAAAAATGGCCATAAAAATTAAAAAAAAAAAAGATCTCATTGGATATGAAGTTTTCAAAGGTATAAAGACAAGCATATTGTCTTAAATATATACTGTATATTTTGATCGGTATTAAAGATATGCAAAAAAATTGAAATCGGTTCAGCCGTTTTTTGTGCAAACATCGACGAAGGTCAAAAATCGAGTCACATACACACACACTTTCTCCAAATTAGGTCTCAATCGCTTCAGAATGACTTAAAACTTGGAGAAAACATGAAATCAGCAAATCGGATTTTTTTGCAAATATTACAATATATAAATTTCTTCTTCGGTAAGTTAAAAAAAAATCATCATTCATCATTTGACTACAAATATACAGAAAAAAGTACCAGTTCAAAATTTTCACAAATAAATTTATGATTAAAATGTGAACATTTCTTTCTCATCAATAAAATTTCATAGTCGTTATTAGAAATTGTGCAATTCCGTATAATCTATTAAAAATTGTCAATAGTTTATAACAAAGTTTATACCATCAATATATACATTTTGTCTCAGTTACACATTTGTTAGTAATTTTCACCCACCACCATTTGTTAATATTTACAAAATTCCACCACCAAAAATTTCGCTCACTTTTTACGTCACCAAAGCTGCTTCAAAAGTCTGCTATCATATGACTTGCTTAATTTTGCCATTGTCCAATTTCGATTTATTCACGATAATTAATTTCTTCTTCTTTTTCACTGGCGGAGGTGTCGGCAATGGAGGTAAATCTGGAAGTTGGCAGACGTCCTTCATGGTGTTGTATTTTCTGCCAACTCTCTCGATTAATTCGGGTTTGTATTTGTAGGCTGTCTGGTCGACTGCCGACGTTGTTTTGATGCAATCGTCTCCACCAAATTCACAAACCTAAAAAAAATAATAAAAAGTTAAGATCTATATTCATGTACACGAAAATTGGGGTCCTCAAGATATTGGCAATCTTATTTTAACCCTTACAATCCGGCACTGATTCAGAACAATCTACCAGCAACTCGGTGGTAAATTCTTTTGCAAAAGTACCTGATGTAAACATGATATTGTGTATGTTATGTAATCAGTTTGTAATGAATTTGTGGTCATCGAGGAACATACATTTGCAATATTTATTAACTTCCCGAAAATGAAAATTTTTGCATATCTATACGTTTCAGAGGTTTCTGAGCATTTTGAGCAATGAATTGTATGTATATTAGGGTGGTCTTTTATATGGACATTTTCGAATTTCATTGCTTTCAAGGGCTCAAATGATTCCAAATTGATAAAAAACAATTCTCTAAAAGTTTTAGCTCTCAATATTAACTTTTAGATAGTGCGCCATTCAATCAAACTTCGTATGAAAATAGCATGGAAAAAGTTTTGAAAATTAAAAAAAAACTTTAGGTATAACTTAGCGACAAACTAATTAAAAGTGAAAATTTGTCATTTTTTATTGAAAATTTGACGCTCTGCAGAATTTTTGAAAAATTTTTCATGGTATTTCCATACAAAACTGATTGAATTGCGCACTATCTAAAAATACAATATTAATAGCTAAAACTTTCAGAAAATAGTTTTTTATCAATTTGGTCCCATTTGAGCCCTTAGAAGCAAGGAAATTCGAAAATGTCCACATTAAGGATAACCCCCACATGTATATGTATGGATATAGTTTTTCGTCCACGTTTTCAGGAGCACGAAGCAACCGATTTGAATTAGTCAAAAAGCAATCGAAGCCTATTGCTAATAAAATGTGATTAATTTTTGGCAGAAGTTGGACCAGCCGTTTCGGAGATACCGAGCAGAAAGTGCAGAAAATGGCAATTGAGTTTGTGAGAGAACGGAGCATCCGATTTGAATGATTCAAGAAACATTCCACTTGTATTGACGTAATAAAGAGTTGATTAAATTTTTGCTAAGGCAGGTCTACCGGTTTCGGAAAACATGACGCAAAAAGTTCAAAATGCCATTTATTTTCGGAAGTATAGATCAACTAGCATTAATATGTATTGAAAATTTTAGATAAATTTCAAAATTCAAGATATTCACAAAAAAAATCACTTTCAAAAATTTTCCAAGTTTTTTAAATATATCAGTATTTTCGAAGCAATTTTGTCAATATTTAAATGATTTCAAAAAGTTGAAAAATGATCAAAAAAAAATTCAAGATTCTCCAGCAATTTGTCTTAACGCACGATGCTATGCACTACTAGTTACATTTTAATTTGTATAAATTAGTATAATCTAGAAAAATTTACTAAATTGTTATATTCACTTACATAATGAAACATTCAATAAAATTTGTTGAAACATATTTAGCAATTTTAGTCATTTTTTTTTTTAACTTTTTTGTTGAATACCTTAAAAAATTTGATAAGATCTTCATGTAAAAATCATGTATACACATACATGTATATAAGACAATGAAGCAAATTTTCAAATTAAAAATTTTTTTTTTGATCACTTTGTTCAAGACATATCAGCAAAAACTAAATAAAATTTACTAAAATTTAGTAAAAATTGTTACTTACACTTGGATTTTGAAATTCTGAACAAACCGTAGTCGAAATGCATCGTAGGTATTATGTAGGAAAGTAAACACAGGTTGATATAATTTTAAATACTTATTCGTACATTTACACTACGTGATGTTATTGTTTCCTTCCTCAATGGCAAAATACAAGTGAAATAAATTTGGTAAGAATTCCAGGTTTTATACCTTGTCCTTAGCATCGTGGACATTTTTGATTGGTTGTGATACCATTGGTTGCAAATTTCAGAGATAGTCATATGAAGGGTTGCTATATATAATATATGGATTTAGAATATTTTTCATTATTTGTCAAATAACTTCAAATTTTCATTACGGATATTGAAAATAATAATATATTTTTTTACATCAGGCAAAACTAAATAAAATTTACTAAAATTATGTACAAATTGAATTTTAAAACTTTGCATAACTAATAGTTAAAATGCGGACTTTTGATAAAATGAACTATATGGAAATTTGCATTCCAGATAGTATAATTTTTTACATAAGTGAAAACTAGATAAAATTGACTAAAATCTAGTACAATCTGTTATATACACTTGGATATTGAAATTTTAAATAATTCGTAGTTGAAATGCGATTTTTCGTATTTTGATAATATGCACTCTATGGATTCAGAACATTTTTTTGCCTTCCTTCAAATACTTTGAAATTTTCATACCAGACATTACAATTTGTTTACTTCAGTAAGAACTAAATTTTGCACAATTCGTAGTTAAAATGCGGATATAGAATTTTTTTTTTTACTTTTCTTCAAATAACTTTTAATTTTCATTTCAGACATTATAATTTGTTTATATCAGTAAAAACTAGATAAAATTTACTAAAATCTAGTACAAACTGTTATATATATATCCTTGGATATTAAAATTTTGTATTATTCATAGTTGAAATACGGCCTTTAGTATTTTGATAAAATGCTATATATAAATTCAGAACATTTTTTGACTACTATTTAAATAACTTTTAATTTTCATTCCGATTATTATAATTTATTTCTACCAGTAAAAACTAGATAAAATTTACTAAAATTTAGTATAAACTGTTATATACACTTGGATATTGAAATTTTGCACAATTTGTAGTCGAAATGCGGACTTTAGTATTTTGATAAAATGCAATATATGGATTTAGAACATTTTATTACTTTTCTTAAAAAAATTAAATTGTTATTACGGATAGTAAAATTTCTTGCACTATTCATAACTAGATAAAATTTACTAACATCGAGTACAAACTATTATAAACCCTTGGATATTAAAATTTTGCACAATTCGTAGATGAAATGCGGACTTTAGTATTTTGATAAAATGCACTATATGGATTTAGAATATTTTTTTTACTTTTCTTCAAATAACTTTTAATTTTCATTCCGGATATTATAATTTATTTCTACCAGTAAAAACTAGATAAAATTTACTAAAATTAAGTATAAACTGTTATATACACTTGGATATCGAAATTTTGCACAATTTGTAGTCGAAATGCGGACTTTAGTATTTTGATAGAATGCACTATGTGGATTCAAAACATTTTTTTTGCTTTCCTTCATATAACTCATAATTTTTAAACCGGATATTATAATTTATTCATACCTGTAAAAACTAAACAAAATTTAATAAAATTTAGTACAAACTGTTATATATACTTGGATATTGAAATTTCGCACAAATCGCAGTTGAAATTCGGACTTTAGTATTTTGGTAATTTGCATTATATGGATCTAGAACATTTTTTACTTTTCTTCAAATAATTTTAAATTTTCATTTCGAGTAAAATATTTTTTTGCACTATTCAGAATTATAAAAAATTTCCTAAAATTTAGTAGAAACTGTAAATTAAAATAATAAGTACATTTTAAATAATATTATTTGTGATAACATTAAAGAGGCTTTTCTATATTCTGACTGTATTATAAATCTTTCTTGTTAATTCATGTTGTTTATTTTTTTCTAAATAAAAATTATATACTATTTAAATGCTTTGCTTTCCATTTCAATTGAAGATGCACAGTTACTTTGTAAAAAATCTTATTAATATTAAATTAAATCTAATTCAATATAAATGTAATGTAATATTAATGTATTTTTACGTTTTCTTACGTTTTTGCATGTTTACGTTCCTTCAAGTAAGATTACACTAATTTTTTTTTTACTATTAACTTACTCTGTAATGATGTAGTATAGCAGCATCAGATGGAACATTTAATGTACCATGTCCAGGAATAAATTCCCATACAAAATGATTACCAGCCTCGACGACCACTTCTGGTCTGCAAATGTATTTTGACCTTTGTTTGTGTGGATGAAGTTTCGCTCTTCTAAAAAAGGAAAAAGAAAACTTTATTGAGAATTTAAAGAATGGAGTTAGAAATCAGTTAGAAATTTGTTGGAATTTACACATCCTTTTTTTAAACCACTACGAAAATGTGAATCAAGTTGAAATCAAGTCTGCTCAGAATCTAGATAGAATCTACATAGAATTACATTTTTTGTAAACATTGTAATAAAATTTTAATTATACTCAAGTCGAAATCCAGTTGCTAGAATCTACTTAGAATTAGTTATATTTTATTTATATAAAAAAGTCGGAAACTAGCTAGAAAATAATTACGTCAGTTTGCTTCAGTTTTGAAAGTTACAAGTCAGTCTAGTTAGAATCTAGTATGAATCCACTTAGAATTAGAATTTGGGATCAAGTTAGAATCAAGTCAAAGTGGAATCTAGTTACAATCCACTGAGAATTAGTTATATTTTTGTAAGATTTTAGTTATACTATAATAAAAAAGTATGTTAACAAGAATTTGTATTCAAGCCCAAAAATGTAATTTAAATTTTTATTACCTTCTAGTTTTTCTGCTGGTTATCAGTCCAGTTTCTACTCTATCTATAGTATTGTAAACTGAAGGATCATCTCCCCATTGGAGGTAAAAAAAGGCATTTTGGAAGGAAAATGACCCCGTCGACCACGTGTTAAGTCTCTTCTGCAACCATCTGCAAAAATAAAATTTATATTTTTAATTAAAAATCTACCAATTAATACATAACATAGATTCATATATGTTGTCTAAATATATAAACAAATACCTTTTATTAATTACTCATACAACCAGAATTTTAGTATCAAAATAAAGTGTCTATAAATCAAGAAATAAACCACAATGTAAACCATTGATCAATGTTTACAAAACATTTTTGTAATTTTTTTAAACATTTTGCTGAAAATTTTAATTTATTAATTTGTTCATATTGACCAAGTGAATAACGTTTTTACCTGAATTCGGTTTTGACTTCATCAGATATATTTTCCCGCTTATAATTCTTCATATTGAAAGTTTTATGAAAAAATGATCTTCTTGTGAATCTCATATTTAAATAAAAACTGAAATTTGATTTCAGTTTCTTCAAAAACGTACATAAAAATGATGGTTGGTTTTTAGAAAAAAAATAGGAAAAATTTATTGTTTAAGTAAAATTTTGTTTTATAATTCCCCAATTAAATAATTTATATTACAAATAGAATTTATTTTACCTCTGCATAATCCTATAAATTACATCAAATATTTTAAATATTGCATAGTTGGAATTCTTCGAGATTTCTGTGTTTTCATACTTTGTGGAGCTGTGAATGTTTTGATATAATATTAAAATAAAAATAATAAATATTTTAGATATTAAATGAATTAGTTTCACTAAATAATTGAAATATTGCCATATAAGTAATTATTTCTTGTAAAAATCTTTAATAAAATAATAATAATGAATAAAAAAATAATACTTTTTAGACATTACTTCCACAAATTTTTGTATCATCACGTTATAATTCTTTATTTTATTTTTATAGAATTCATTATTATAAGAGAGATTTCAGAAACTAATCTGCCATTATTTCATCATTTTAGTATTTGTTGTATGATTTTTTTTGAAAAAATTGACGGTTCTAGATGGAACCTCAAGTAGATGGTTTTTCAGACAAAAGAGCCATCATAAGTTTATTTTCTGTTAATTTTATAATAAAAAAGATACTTGAAAAAACTCAAACTTTTGTTTCATTTCGTGTATATAAATATATATAAAATTATACTATATATTTACTTATTTTTGTCTTTATTCCCTTCGTTGGGATGAAAATATTTCCACTCCGTCGAATTTCTTTCTGCACATCTAAATATTTTATTTATATTTATCTTATTGTTCATTATTGTTATCAGATGTTATATTATTCAGCAGTTGTAATGAATATTGTAAATAAAAAAAATTTAAATAATTCATTATAAAATTATTGTATCATTATTATAGTTGTAATTTAGCTATTCCTCATATTACAATAAAACTTATTTTCTATTTATTTGAAATAAAAAGCTCTAGTATTACAATCTAATGGCAAAGTGCTAATAATGTTATTATTAATATTACTTCAAAATTTTGATTAAATTTTAATTAAAATTCTGATAATACTAGATTTTAGATTAAAAAAAAAATTATCCAAAATTTATGTTTTTTGAATTTTTAGCCTCTTGAGCAAGAAAGTGCATTAGACTCAGAAAATTGTCATTTTCGCGACAACCTGAGATCAAGTAGTGCTTCTTTGAAAATTATATTATAGTTGGAAATAAAATATATTGAAAATAAATCTGTCTACCATTGGGTTGCCTTCAAATATAAATTAAGCCAAAAACAGACAAGAAAACCATTAAGTTGCCTTCTAATATGAAATACATTAAAAATAGATAGGACAACCATCAAGTGATCTCCTGTTTGTTAAAAATCTTATTCATTAATTAATGTAGTTACTAAAAGTACTATGATTTACTATATTATTACTGCCAGCAATACCAGATACCAGATGAAGTTTAGTTTATAAGACTTGTTGATTTAAGTCTAGTTTCTAAGGCAATTAAAATTTGTGATATTTTTTTGTATATACATATATATTAGGGTGGTCTTTGAATGCTCCCAAATTGATTAAAAAATTCCTGAAAATTTTAGCTTTTAATATTAATCAAATTTCTGTTATAATTTTTGTATTTATGATCAAAATATACAAATACAATGTTACTCTCAGAACTTTCAGCCACTTGTCGCTCAGTTATAAAATCCTAAAAAACAAATGAAATTTTACCCATTTATTTCCATAAAAAACTTTGGTTGGAGTGCGGATTATCCTATAAAGTTAATATTAGGAGCTAAACGTTTCAGAGATTTTTTTTTATTAATTTGGAAGCATTTGGGCCCCTAAGGCATAATAAATTAGAAAATATCCATATTAAGCTTGGTAATATAAATAATAATAAAACTTTTTTTACTTACTTCAACATATCGAACAGGGTGTAGTTGTGGTTAGGGATGATAAATTCATCCAAATCAACAAGCGCCACATGAGAATACCTGAAATATACAATTATTTGAATAAAAATATAATTTTTAAGTCTCTAAAAAAATATTTATTTTCCAAACTTATAGAATAAATAAAAAACAATGTATAGTACAGAGAAAAAAATAAAACCCAACAAAATGTAATTTTTCAGGGACACTTGGAAATATAAATAATTTTAAAGCTTCTGAGTTTATTTATAAGACATAAAATGCCAAATTTTACACAAGATGTTTTTTAAGAAAATTGTAAATATTTATCTGTATAAACAATCTTCAAGATAATACAAAAAGAAACTAATGGTGCATGGTATCGTGATTTAAAATAAATTTTTGGAACTTTATAAATGTTGTAATGATCATATTATAAACGTTGTAATGACCATATTATACATATATATATATATATATATATAATAATGGCATGTAGAAAATAAATATATACTATTGTATAGATATTTTGTACGATCTATCATACTAGGCACTTCAGTCTGTCTGAGATGTATAAAATTTATATTAAAATTCAAATACAAAATAAAAGTAAACTGAAACTTTCATTATTCGCATTTTATATACAATTTGTAACAGCTTAAAAAATTGTACGACGACGTTCATACATGTTTAAACATAAAAAGTAAAAATAAATAAAACTTAATCTAACCTAGTTCAAATGAAGGTCCTTACCTTAAAAACTGAATTAAAAAGTTAAAGTTATTTATTTCAAGTATATAAGTGAGCTTTAGAATTTAAGTTAGAATTAAAATTAAAATCAGAATCATTTTTAATATTTTGAAAAAAAAATTGGAAAAATATATTACCTGAATCAGAATCATTTTTAATATCTTGAAAAAAAAAAAAAAATTTAAAATATTTTACCTATACATTGCCCTGTATAGGCAATCATTGAAAGCTGCAAACTGGCATTCGGTCCTGATTTCCTTCTGGGACAACATATTCAAATCCCATGGCATCATTGTCAGTCTGCCAGAAGCTTCGTAGTCCTATAAAAGAAATCAAATCATAAACAAATAATCTTAAAAATATAACAAAATAATAAATAGATAAAATTCTATAATAGTCCCAACATGATATCTGGATTGGTTCTCAAAATACACAATAAAAGAACACAGTCGTGCTTTAACTTTGTATTCATTAATTCTGTATCATATTGAATGATTTGTACAAAGTATCATTTCTAGTTTAAAACATATTTCTCTGAGTTTCCATCATTTCCTATATCCATTTCTGATTCCGTTTAATGTTTGACAAAAAAACTTCCTATAAAAGCGAAAAACTTTATATAAAACTCGGCTACATGAAAATTCCTTATTATTCAAATCATTCAGAAAAGTTTAATTTTTTCCTGATTTGGAATTATACATCTTCGTGGGCAAATGACAAATTAAAAAGAAAGTTTGCTGCGTCAAACTTTTCAAATTTGTGAAGATGTTTTTATTCTGGCATGATAATTGAATATTAGAGAAAAATTGAATATTTTTTGCATGTAAATTGAAAATATGGTTAGGTATTATTAGGTCGAATCAATTATAAGAGAAATTAGAAGGAAATGTAGTACAATAAATTCATGTAATTAATCTACATATATTTAAAAATAAGTCGGGCTTTCCTTCCTGACGATATAACTCCAGAATGCACGAATCGATTTCGACAATTCGTTGGAAAGGTCTCGGGCTCGGCAAGGCTTATAGCTAAGAAAATTAGTGGTGCATCGTGCCTTAATGCAAATTGCTGGAACTTCACGCACCGTAATTAAATTTTCGAGTAATGACATTAGTGAGAATTATTAGAATTATGCTTGGCTAAGTCAACGAGCAATTCTTGCCGCAAAGAATAATGATGTACACGCACTGAATTTCACCATTTAATCAAAAATTGCAGGCGATTTGGTGACATACCAATGATTCCGACTGGTCTTCCGTTTGACTGCAAATGACTGCAATTTCCAGTTCGCCTTGCGTTTGTAATAACAAGTCGCAAGGTCAATCGCTTAGTATAGCAGGATAAATTTTAAATAGATTATTTAGAAAATCATTGTTTTTCACTTGGGCAGTTATACGTTGCCTGTTCACGAGTTGGAAAACAGTACGCTTTGTTTGTGTTGAAGTCAGACCAAAAGACAAAAAATGTGGTTTACCAAATGAGCACTTCAATGAAACGGATAATTTGCGGATGCACTTTCATTTACTTCTTATTAGAGAAGTTCAACTAAAAATCACTTCATTTTTGTAATCGAAATAAATTCATTACTGTTGTGTAACAAAATTAAATTTTTTCTTTTCAAATATAAAACAAACAAAAAATTTCTTCATCTTTCTCATGAAACCATCTGGTGGCATATTCATAATTATGATAACTATTTATAGAAATTTTAATATAATTAACTTACCTTTAGTAAACATGAGACGTGTTCGCCCAAAGTGTGTTTGTACATGAAGAAATGATCGATGCCCATTATCGAATACAGTTCCAAAAATTCTAGTATATTTAGTGACTGAAAATAGCATTCAGAAAATTAATTTACAACCAGAAAAATATCAAACTTGGAGGACAATAGAGTCATAAAAATATAAAAATGCCCATAATAAAATAACATCATAATAAAATAATTAACAGCTTGTCTTAAAGGGGTCATCTGGTCTAGAAATTTCAAGAAATCGATATTTTTCATATTTTCAAAGTTTAACCATTCAAGACTGTGTGTACAAAAGGATTTTTCAAAATTTATATTATTCCTGGAGATATAGCAATTTGACCACAAAACTCCAAAATGTATTCTCAATACAAAACACATGATTTCTAAACTTTTACTAGACTTATTTACTTAAAATTTTTACGGAGTCTTTTTTATAAACTTCTCTTCTATAGGAATTATGTTCATCACCAAATCCGGATATTTGTCATTTAAAAAAAATGAGAATAAATAAAAATAAATGTATGTCTAACCAGAATATCCACTTCCTTCATCAAGGGATGTATTATCTTTTACAAAAATTAATTTATTTCTTGAACGCAAATAATTTCTTTGACCCCAGACTCATTTATTAGACAAAAAACGACTAAAAATATTACTAGCGTGTAATAACAGTTATTCAAGACAAATAAAAAAACGTTTTTGGCAAACCACCAATAATCCGAAAAGACCAGATCATAAAGAAGACGTTTCTTAATTTGTGGAATTGCACAAAAACGCGCTTGTTATATAATAGATAAATAGAATTCAACAAAAGTTAAGACTGTTGAAAAGAAAATATAAAAAAAGTAAATATAAAAAGTATTTGTAATATGTTGTATTCAGTAATATGGTAGGACGGGGCATTAAAGTCCAATTTCACTTGTACCAATTAAACAACTATATCACAACAAGTAACACATATCAAACAAACAACTATCTGACTATGTTCAGTAAAACTACCAGCTACATCATCATTGTAAAAATATGTTTTTTGATATTTTTCAGAAATTTATCACCTGATCCTTTTTACTCCATAGGCTTTATGTAAAGGGTCTGCCAGGGAGCAAACAGGTCCAATGTCATATTTTAAATTTTAAAAAGGTTTTACAAAATAATAGCTGTATTATTCAACCAATGCAAAATATAAATTTCATGGTTACATTTTTACAGACATAACTCTGTATACAACCTCGATCTGGTATTTCGTCAGAAATATTCATCAATAGATTTGGAATAACTGTTTAATAAACTCACATCTTGTAAAATTATTTTTATTAACTTATACTTTTTTATTTACTATTTTTATTATTTACACCTTTGCCTGGGTAAAGGTTCAGTTGGTCCTTTTTACCCTACGCATGTGTAACCTTGTATAGGGGTTATATGAAAAACTTTTGAATCTAACTTAAAATAAATAATAGATTTTATAAAATAATTAAATAAAATATACTCAAAAAAATTATACTGAGGTCTCGTAAACTAAACAACAGTGCTCACAACCAAAAAAACAAACAATGACAGAAAATATTTTTGTCGTGGATTTTCAAACATTGCATTTTATTTCCTGATAGCAACGTCGTAAAAATCAAGGTGATGGCTGATAGTAAATCTTTTGCCCTCTACTTTCAAATATTCTTAAAAAATTCTTGACTTTACATGTTTTTGAAATATCGGTGGTTAGACGTTTTTACCCGTGGACTTTTTAGCCCCACTCTACCCAATAGGAGAAATAATTTTGGCATCATTTAAATAATCGACCCTTGTCCAAGTTCTACTGAATAATCTATTTCATTTGATCATAAATATTTATTAATATTTTTTTCCTACCTGATCGTAGTGATAATGGAACGGCTTAACACAAACTGCCATCTTCTTGGGAATATCCGTGGCAGAGCGGTTAGCAAAATCGGGATCCTGAAAAACGCAATAAATATTACTGAAATGCGAAATGCGAAATTCATAAAATAAAATTATTCAAGCGCACTCTCTCTCTCTCTCCATCCATACACATGGAATGGACGCCGTTTTGGTTCTGGTAGCAGGTACTGCTTATGCATGATGATTCATATTCATGCAAAGCCATGCATAAACATAAATAATCCTCAAGGATCGAGGATAAATTTTGCTAGGGTTTAGGGAAAGGTTTCAAAACATTTGGGGATGATAAAAATTTATATTTAAATTTTGTTATGTTTTCATTTTCTAGATTTTTCATTATTTTTCAATCAGATCTGTCGATGCAATAAGATTCTTTTCAATTAGTCCAGTCATTTAAGCTTAAGTTAGGTAAGAATTTCAGAATTTGAGATACCCAACTGTAACTCTGTAAATACTTGTAATTGACACCTTAAAGTTGTCTCAAAACCTACATATGGTAGGGTGTACGCAACATATGTAGGTTTTGAGACAACTTTTAGGTGTCAATATACAAGATGAACTTACTAAAATTACTGGACTAAAATATAAAATATTATAAATATATAAGTTATGATATATTGTGTTTTTTTTGAACATATATGAAAATTATCCAATATTTTAATTAATAAAAAGAAATCATTTTTTTAAAATTGTTAAATTTTGAATTAAATTTGAGTTAATTTTGAGTTTGTTAAAATCTGAAGATGATAAATATATAAACAATAGTATATTTAATTAATTTTTGACAATGTATGAAAAATATCCAATATCTCAAATAATGAAAATAATAGTTTTTAAAAACTTTGTGATCTTGGAGAAATTTTGTGTTTTTCTCAATTATAAATATAATTTGAAATCTGTATTCAAAAATGATTAATGTATAAGTAATTGTATATTGTATTTTTTTTGAACATACATGAAAATTATCCAAAATTTTGAATAATGAAAAAATTCATTCTATTAAAATTGTTTAATTTTGAAGAAATTTTCTAAATTAATATTTGAAATTCTTACTAAAAATGATAATCCTGAAATATATTTAAAATTCATGATATGTAAAGAATCTTTTGATATGAAAATTGTCCACCAGTTTAAAGTATTTAAAATATTTAAAAAATGCAGTCAATCACAATCATTAAATTTTAAACAAATTTCAAAAGATTTAGTTTGTGACTTGAGTTGCTTGGAAAAATTAAAATGATACATACAAAAACCATGATGTTTGTAAATTTTTGAGATTGACATTTCATTGACAAGTTATTTTCAAGAACACAGAAATACTAAAGACAAATCATCAGGAATATGACATTACATATTACATATGTAATATAAATCTTTGTATAAATTATAATCAGGACCGGATTTAAATTTGTGCTGCATTGGGGCACTGAGGAAAATGCTGTCTCATTTCATTTGATAAATTCTCAAATTTAATTTGATACATTATGCACAGGTTATATTTCTTTGAATAAAAAATGTTATTAAGAAGAATTTGTAAATTATATGGTATAGAATTTTTTATCACTTCTGAATAAATTAAATTTCTGATAAAAATTGATATAAATTAGTTATTATTTATAAAAAAATATTTATAAGAAAATTGTTAAATTCATATTATTATCATTAAAATATTGTTCATATTATTTGTATTAATAGAAAAACAACTATTTGTTGTCACTATAGTATACAATGCCCTATTATGGCTGACAGTTGTAAATTCCGCAAATTTACTAAATGTCTTTAACTGGATAGTTGTAAATATAGTAAATAAGAAAAACTTTTCAAATTTTGCCGCAATAAAAAAATTTTCTTCTTGGGTTCCGACTGCCCTTACCGTAAATTCACAATTCACAAATAATCAGCTGTGAATATGTATATATTTGAGTGTAAATATATACATATATTTAATCACCGAAATATCCTCAATTTTGGTAAATAAACCGCATAGTTAATAATTTTGAGAACTACAATCCCACACTTGAAGCACAAAATTTATTTCTCGTTCCTCGTCAACGACTTGCGTAATATATTGCTCCATTAACACTGCAATAACGAAGCTTTTGGGACCAGAAATAATAGTGAGGAAACCCTTGGAACAAACGAATGACTCCTCATCATGATGAACAACAAGGAATGAATGAATGAATAAATAACATACTGAATTTTTCTGCCTAATCATCCCTACAATAGTAGTTTTGCTAATGGATTGGGAAAACTAAGACTACCAATCTGTACTGTATTGACCAACAACAAGCAACAAATGTTGCTCTTTGAATTTAATTCAAATTTCATGATATTATATTATTGTAAGTGACACTGTGAACATAATAAAAGTAATAATAGTGTATAGAAAATAATAAATTGCCCGACGGCTATTTTCTTATATTTTCCTCTCGGATCGCATTAAGTTTTCAGCGTCCGACACTACACTTTATATTGCTACATTACCCGGGGCATTTGTCTTATACAGCAAAAACTTAAGATATATATATATATATATATATATATATATTAGGGTGGTCCTTAAAATGGTCATTTTCGAATTTCTTTGCTCCCAGGGGCTCAAATGGTTCCAAATTGATAAAAAACAATTCTCTGAAAGTTTTAGCTCTTAATATTAAAGTTTAGATAGAGCGCAATTCAATCAAAGTTTTGTATGGAAATAGCATGGAAAAATTTTCAAAAATTTTAAAAATGTTTTTTAGATGTAATTTAGCGAACAAATGATTGAATAAAACTCATTCATTTGTCGCTAAGTTATACCTAAAACATTTTTATTAAATTTTCAAATGTTTTTCCATGCTCTTTCCATACAAACTTTGATTGAATTGCGCTCTATCTAAACGTTAATATCAAGAGCTAAAACTTTCAGAGAATTGTTTTTTATCAATTTGGAACCATTTGAGCCCCTGGGAGCAAGGAAATTCGAAAATGATTATTTTAAGGACCACCCTAATATATATATATATATATATATATATATATATATATATAAGACAAAAACAAAAATAACTCAAAAATCCCAAACAATTCAAAACCATGTTAACCGAGCACATAAATAATTTAATTCATAATATAGATTTTTTCAACACAAAAATTTTATATTTTGAAGAGAACGTAATTAAAAGAAGATTCGCTGATATATATATATATATATATATATATATATACATTATTTTTCTACAAAATCAAAATTTCCTACTAACCTGATCTGTATTTCTAACCCTCAGCAAGTGCGCCGGATCAGCTCTTAATCTGCTGACAATTGATACGACTTCTGGAGGACCAATTTCCTTTCTTAAAGGACAAAGGACGAAGCACGCAGAATACTTCAAGTTCCAATTTTCTCGAATGACCTGAAATAATATAAAATGTTGATTTAGCAATATACTTTGTAATAATTAGTAATAAAAACAAATATTTTTTGTCGATTTTTTAAATGGAAATAGTTGTAGCAAACTTGGAACCTCATATGACAAGTTCATAGCTCGAACCACTTATCTACGGTCATAAAGAAAACTAGTTGTGCATGTCATCGATCTTAAGGCTAATTGCTAGAAATTCCTGTACTATAATTTAAAAACCTCAAAAATAAAAAGAGATTTTATTTTTTTTAAACATATTTCTTAAATATAAGATATAATTCTTAAATTTTTTTTAATTTTGAAAAAAATGAAATCAAGTTTTTGATAACAAATTTTAGTTGTTATGAATGTCAATTGTTGGTTTAATTATTAATTACAAAGTCAACAGGTAGCCCATTATCAAATCGTCATTATTGCAAATGTGTCCAAGTCATTACATTTTATCAAATATTCATTCAATCCATTAGTCCAACCATTGTGCATGTAGTTCGTATAGTTACTAGTAGTTATAGTATATTTAACTATAGATATAGTTGCTATGTGCATTCAGGCCTGACCTTAATCTATTGTGGAAATTGCACGAAGTGCATCATAACATTATCCATTATGAATATGCAAAACAATATATGTCCAAACATATGGCGAACAGTCGTTGGCTCTCACTCTAATATTTTTATAATGGGTTTATTGCATTTTAACAACAGATATAAATTGCCCGTTGATTTTGATTGCTGGGTTGGCAAAAAATGGTTCGTGTAATTACCAAGTGGATTTATATATATTTTTAATATGATATTGTGTTCAGATATCATATAGAAAATAGTGGTATTTAAAATCTTTATAAGGGTGTTTGATATAAATTTAAATTGGTATTTAAAATGTCTGTAATTTGCTACCAAGTGAAAGGAGACCCTTTCTGATATCTTCATGCATAAAATGTGAAAATCATAATAATAAGAAAAATTCTAATAATGAAATATGTCAATAAAGTTAGTCGAACAGTTGGGTCCTTGAAAAACCTCATATTTAAAAAAAATCATCACAACATTTTGAAAACCTAAAATTTTTTAATACTTTTTGATGAAACAAATATAAAAACATTTATAAAATAATAACAATCGCACCGATGACAAGTATACATTTCTAAAATAACAGCAATTTATTTAAAAAATTTATGAATATATAATTTCAAATATTAATTAAATTCTAAACTGTTCCCGAAAATTAAAACAGTTTATGTGCATATAAATTACTCAAATGAATGTAATAAAATAATTATTGCATATTATTCTATGAATAAAACGGGAATCAAATTAAATTTATTAATATCGTTTCATATAATTAAAATTTCGAAATATGAAATTATATAGTATAATTTTAAATTATATAATTCAATAATGGATATGATTGCATTTAATTTAATGTGTCCTAATGTATAGATACAGAATTCAAATTTGTATTATCAATTTTTGTATACAAATCGTGTATTTCTTTATAAATTTTATAATATATATATATATATATATATATATATACAATTGTATATATATGTGTATATATATATACATATTAATAATAAAATTTCGCTATAAAACTTTGAAGAAAATAATCTGTTTTACTTTCAACTAATTGGAAATTTGCTACGAGCTTTAGTCCTTTATTTTTATTTCTTATTAAATCTCTTTATTGCTTGAAACTATATTATATATAGGAACATATAATATTATATATATATATATATATATATATATATATACTTTATAATATTCTTTGACAAGCCAGTATTTCTAAAGATTTCCTCTGGAAAATCTCTCCTGATAGACGGGACAGAGAAGAGAGTCCCGCATAATCCGCTCGGATGAGTTCGACGACTAGATTTCATTTATATATTTTAGTCAAAAGAAAATTGTATTAAAATGTAATTTTACTTTGAAGAGAGTAGTTTGTTAACGACTGCAATGAATCAAGTATATGCTAACAAGCTGAAAATTAAAGGGGTAATAATGTAATAATTCAATCAACCGAAATTAAGATTTAGATAATTGCTTACTTTTTTTACTTGTTTATTACGAAAATAAAATTTTCGCTTTCACCTAAATCTGAACATCGCAATTTCCAATTAAAATCTATCAAACACATTATCTGTAATTATTTTTATTATAGTATAAAGACATATGCTTAAAATTGGAGCTAATTATTCCAAAATTTAATTACATTATATAACTCAACCAATTTTTGTAGAACTGTTTAGAGCATGAACTTTATCGCTTAGTTAAGTTTCATGAAAAACGTCGAAACAGTTTTTTTGAGAAACTTAATAAATTATTTTCTGGAATATTAGCATCTGCTATAAGGAAAACTGGTACGACTATGTATATCATGTACATAATCTTTTATATTATTCAATCATTTAAATTAAAATTGTCATTTTTTACACAACTAGAGAAGTTTTGTAAACTGCTTAATTATTTTTTTGATAATTCCAAAACCAATCGGTCGATTTTCTCGCAAACTTTATCACTGCACCCCTTATCAAATTTATTCTAATGGCTTTTAAAAATGTGAAATTCAAATTTTGACTTATCAAGTCACAAAATCAACTTTCAACAATTCTGATTATATTATTTTTCAAATTTTGATGAATTTTTAAAATTAAATGACTTGTAGCAATATTTCTGAATATCCTTTAAGACCATGATATCTATCAACATGAAAGGTTTCATCGATTTTTTGTTTCTAAGAGTTAATTATGATTTTGGATTGCGTGATAAAACATGGGCAAAAAAATTTACACTTTTCTGATAATAACGTAGAAAGGGCTCGGCCGATCGACACGCAAAACTGACAAATGTAAGTCCTTATCGAGTTACATCGAATGGCTTTTAAATTTATGATATCGGTCCAGCCGTTTTTGAGAAAACGTCGATCAAAGGTCGAAAAACTGCTCAAATAAATACACACAAACTTTTGTCGATTTCCGTGGGAATAAGATATACAGACAAAAGAACTAGTCTGGTATGCGTAAAAGCATTTCTTTCACTAAACATAATAAACAAATATGTACATATTTTTACCAAATTTGGTTTCATTCGATTCAGAATGAATTGAAACATCGAGAAACATATGCGGAGATTTTAGTCGGTAACCCTGGAGGAATTGGGCGCGACATATCCAGACAAAAGACCTTGTTTGGTGTGCATAAACGCATTTCCTTCTTTATACAAAAAACAAACGCTTAAATATTTTTACTAACTTTTGTCTCGGCTAAGTAACACTCGAACGTAGCAATACAAGACATAACTAACCATATTCCAACAAGGCGCCTAAAGAAGAAATGGCCCCAAATATATTATAGCCTTAGCTAATTATCTACAAGGGGATCTTCTCAATGGAGAAGATTCTTATTTGACATTGTAATTCATCACAATGACTTATAGAAAACTGTTGTATTTTCTGATTGTCAAAAATAAATAAATTACAAAAAAATTGTCTCATTCGCTTCAGAATCACTTGAAAAGTCGAGAAAACACATAAAATTATCAAAACAAAGCAAGTTACAAAATGCGGACACACAAAACCCACACACACACACACATCCATTAGTTTTCAGAGGTTTGCCAAAATGTTCAGAAACCTTCAAAACGTCGAGAAATGCAAAAATTTTCAATTTCGATTTTTGGACAATTACAATAACTTACCCTAACAAGGTAACCATCAGGTTTACTCTTCTGGGATTTTCATGAAACTTTGCATAGTTGTAGAGTTGGTGGTCAAACCGAACACCTTTAAATATTAGAGTCCTATACTTCAAGGCTTACAATTTGCTGGATGATATTTAACATAAAAGCATGAAAAACATAAAAATATATTGCAGTGAGCACACTTTAAAAATGCTGCTGTGTTACGTCTATGTAACATTCATGCTTTTATGATAAATGTCATCCGGCAAATTGTAAGCCTTGAAGCTTTTATTTTATATTATTTTATATTATTATATATTTATGTTTGATATTTTGGTAGATTAGTTTAAATACATATCATTTATAAAAAAAATGTTTTATTTTATTTTATCAATATGCAATGCAAATATATTTATTTTCAGAATGCTTTCATAAATATCTAATATTTATAAATTTCACATATTTGTGTAGTACATGTAACAAATTAATAATTATTATTATAATATTTAACCAAATAGATGTAAAAATAAATAAAAAAAAATATATATTCTGGCGGGATTCGAACTGGCGACTGTGAGCCTAGGCCTCGAGCAAAAAGCAGAGAGTTATCGCCGCTAACCACTCGGCTATCTCGATACACATATACAAAGCGCAACGCGCGTAGACATAGAGCTTAGCGCGTTTCTTGCAGTTTTAATCAATTTATATTTAATTTTTTTAATTAAACCGCTTCTCATAGGACTCTAATAATTAAAGGTGTTCGGTTTGACCACCAACTCTACAACTATGCGAAGTTTCATGAAAATCCCAGAAGAGTAAACCTGATGGTTATCTTGTAAGTTAATAATTTACATTTTACTCCAGATCCATTCATAAATCTACTATCTCCACTTACCTTTATCTTAGCCAGCACAGTCAACGATACGTAGCTCGAATTGTAATTCGACGTGGACGATGAGTTATTGCTGGAAGTGTGCACCGCCGGCACGCCCGATCTGTTGGCCGTCGCCCTCGGATAGAACAGCCTGCACCACACTCGCTCCGGCCCTCTCGTCTTCGTAGCGGCGATGATGCGGACGTAGCGCTTGTCGCGACGGTCGTAGTAGGCGGAGTAGACGTAGAACTTGAATCTGGAAAGAAAATGATGAGAAATATTATGGTATCCAGGGACTTGGTAGAAGAAACTAGTGAGCTTAAAGTATGGTGACCAAACGTCTCGGAGCTGTCCAGGATTTATCTAAACCATATTTAGATACAATTTTCAACTGTTCATTGAAGTTATCAATTATATCTAAACATTACGGTTTCGGATTGATATATCTCAAACACATTTAAATTGTCTGTAATTATATTAAATTTATTTATATTTATGTTATTGTTCACTTATCATTGTCTGTAATTATATTAATTTTATTTATATTTATGTCATTATTCGCTTATGTTACTAGATGTCATATTATTTAGCAATTGTAACATATATTGTAATTTAAAAATAATAATTATAGTGCACTGACATGTGCTTAAAATTGAAGCTAATTATTCCAAAATTTAATTACATTATATAATTCAACCAATTTTTATTCATATTGGTTTACCTGTGCCAACGGCATTATTTGACCAGGATTCAAATATGTGACCGATTTTTTGAAGTAAAACTTCTTTAGGCGCGACTAATATTATAGAAGTTATTAATCATTTCTAAATGCTAATTACAATGACAAACCGATCAACTATGACATAACCGATGTCATATTTGATGTACGACTTCAATTACATTATTGTTGTTAAATATTACACATATTTTTAATGCTATGATAAATATATAATTTATAATTTATCAATATATAAATGTGTATAATGCTTGACACTAATAAATGTGTGTATCACGAGTGTTACCATATTACTAATAAACATTATTCAAAATTGTTATATGATGTATTTATTTTTACTTAAATGCTATCTTGTACAGTACTTCAATCGCGTGTGAACCTTTACTTTCAATAGTAACAACAGGCTAAAATTGAATTTTTGCTTTGACTTGTTAATCAAACTACTAAACCTCATCAAACATCTGAAATTGATATATACGACTTACATGTATGTATATGATGCATATTAATTTTTGAATAGTACCTATAGGTCAAAATTGAATTTTTGCTATGATTTGTTAATAAAATTATTAAATTCTATCAAATATCTGAAATATATACGACATACATGTATCTGATGTATAAAAATTACCATAAGGCAAAAATAGTTGAATGAGAAAAAAACAAAGGTTAGAAAAGCTCCAAATAATTTCTAACTTCTATTTCTAAATTAATGAAAATTTGCAAAAAATTAAAGAAGTAAATTTGGCACAAATGTTAAATTTTTTTATTTGAAATATATAAATGAGTTTTGAATATCCTTTCTACCACAACTTTATATCAACAGAATACATAGTACAAATAGTATAATGACTTATTGAAGTGATCACTTATTGAAGTGGTTCTATAATATCTATATAATATTTATCAGATTAATTTTAATACGTGTTTGAAAGTGTGTGTGTATGTATACGAGTGCATGACATAAGCTAAATAGCTAAATTGAAAATAAAAAAAAAAAATAAACGCACTAAAACCGATATTTATATATCGCTACGTTTGAAAACCTTCTGAACATTTTTCATACATTCGAAAAAATTGATATATGTATGTGTGTGCGGTTGTGTGTATGTATGTGCGGATACACTATTTTATCGACGATTTCGAGAGCACGGATCAACTAATTTGATTGATTCAAAAAATATTTGATTTCTATTGATAATCGGACTTGCTGATTAGTTTTTGGCCAAGGCAGGTCCAGCTGTTTTCAAAATGTCAAAAATGGTAATTCAGTTTTTGAAAGAACGGAGCTTCCAATTTCAATAATTCAAAAACATTCTACTTGTATTTAGAAAATGAAGAACTGGCTAAAATTTGGAGAAGACAAGTCTAGCGCTCTCAGAAATAAAAAAAGGTGAAAAAATGCCATTTGACGGTTAAAAATGACCATTAATCAAATTATCAGATATGGAATATAAAATATAAAATATTCGAAAAATGTTGAGCTATAAAAAAATATTTCAAATAAAAAAAATAAAAATTTTAGAAAATTTAAAAATTCTGAAAAATCTGTTTATAAATTAATTTAAAATTCAAATCTGATATTTTCAAAGATTTTGAAAAATTATAAAGCATTTTTAAAAATTTTAATTTTTGGCAAGGCACGCTGCCAAATGTACCACTGGTCATTCATTTATAATACATACTATTTTCTGCTATGACAATAAAATTTTCTGACACCAATATAAAATTGAACAACGTGATGTGTCATTCAGAGTTATTAATTTCGCGCGTATTCATTATTTGGAGAAGTTATTGATTTCGAATGATTGATATATCTGACATATGAATATTAATTCTCATAATTTAATGAAATCCTCGAGTAACGAGTAATCATCATTCATGATGATTGACACTTTGGATATTGGAATATTATTATACATATATAGAGATGCGCCCTCGACTAGGACATTGATCGAGTTTTAAATAATTATGATGCTGTTAAATAATAAATATGATGTGTCATTTTGTTGGTTTATGTCCACATTGCCCCTGTACATACATATATGACGCAAAAATGCAATTATTTTCGACCAATATTTTCCCAAAAAAACCTAGAAACTTTACAGATGATACGATCATCTGTGTGTTCAGTTTTAATCAAAAGTACCTACTACCTACTACCTGCTACTGGTGATATATAAGCATTACTACCGACCTAGTTTTTCCGACCGGTTGCCACACGCCGTCGGTGGCGTTCATCGAGCTCGGCGGAAGCGGTAACTCGCGTTCCGCTTCCGGCGGCAGAGTGTTCCCGCTGCTCAGCACATTCACGTACGGATCTGGAAAGAACAGATTAAAGGATTTTAGATAGAATTTGCTGCTGGAGATAAATAAATAAAAAATATATGGCATAGAGGTTTCAAATAAACAACGTTAAACATTTTCAAAAACTGTAACTTTATTCATATTCTATAGTCACTCAGCTTTTTGAGACAAAAGTTTCAAAAAGGCTGAAGAAGAAGCTGCCCATAGATAATATTGAAGACCTTTAGCACTACCACAACTTTGTATATACGAACAGAATTGGTGAATTACTAATTGGAATATTTCTCCAACTATCGATATAATATTTATCACAATACCTATATTTGAAAGTGTGTGTGTGTGTATATGTGAGTGAATGATTCATGCCAAATAGCTCATAGGTTTATACTGTATTCTAATTGAAAATGAAACAGAAAGTTGTGCATAGCATCATGTCTTAAGGCAAATTGCTGGAATATCGAGTACCAAAAATTAAAATTTTTAAAAATGCTTTAAATTTTTTGATAAACTTAAAAATTATATATTTGTAAATATTAAAATTTTTGAAACAGATTGACTTTTTTGAATAATTTGATTTTTTATACTTTGAACTTTTTTTTCAAAACAAGTACGTTGTAGTTATTTTAGAGCAATATCGAAACGCGTGAGCGCTGGTGTCACAGTCTAACCGCTATTAGAGCCTTTGCTTTAACTCTGCCTATATATGGTGCTCTACCCTTACCTTTACTCTAACTCTGCCTATATATGGTGCTCTACACCTACCTTTACTCTAACTCTGCCTATATACGGTGCTCTACCCTTACCTTTACTCTATCTCTACCTATATATGGTGCTCTACCTTTACCTTTACTCTATCTCTACCTATATATGGTGCTCTACTTTTACCTTTACTCTATCTCTACCTATATATTGGTGCTCTACCTTTACCTTTACTCTATCTCTACCTATATATTGGTGCTCTATCCTTACCTTTACTCTATCTCTACCTATATATGGTGCTCTGCCTTTACCTTTACTCTATCTCTACCTATATACGGTGCTCTACCTTTACCTTTACTCTATCTCTTCCTATATATGGTGCTCTACCTTTACCTTAACTCTATCTCTACCTATATATGGTGCTCTACCTTTGCCTTTACTCTATCTCTACCTATATATTGGTGCTCTACCTTTACCTTTACTCTACCTCTACCTATATATGGTGCTCTACCCTTACCTTTACTCTATCTCTACCTATATATGGTGCTCTACCTTTACCTTTACTCTAACTCTGCCTATATATTAGTGCTCTACCCTTACCTTTACTCTAACTCTGCCTATATATAGTGCTCTACCCTTACCTTTACTCTAACTCTGCCTATATATAGTGCTCTACCCTTACCTTTACTCTAACTCTGCCCATATATGGTGCTCTACCCTTACCTTTACTCTAACTCTGCCTATATATGATGCTCTATTCTTACCTTTACTCTAACTCTGCCTATATATGGTGCTTTACCCTTACCTTTACTCTAGCTCTGCCTATATATGGTGCTCTACCCTTACCTTTACTCTAGCTCTGCCTATATATGATGCTT